CTTTGTTAATATAGCTGCTGTATAGTTGAAGTTTTTGTGTAGGTTTGATTAGAAAAACTTGTCTTTACTGAGGCTCCATATCTGCTTCTGTCACTGCAGGCTTTTTTCTCCTCTGGAGAGTTTCCTGTTGGTAAGATTTGTTCTCTTTCCTGGTCCCTAAACAAATGGTTTAGAAAACTTGTTTCTTAGTGAAACAAACTTTGGTTAACAAGGTGAAAGGCTTGGAGTGACAGGCTTCAATGTGAAAAGTGGTACAAAAGGATGAGTCTGGATGGTAAAGACCCTAGAAGAATGTTCTCTTCAATATCTAGCGGCAGGTACTGGGTGCAGTTTTGCACTGTGTGCACATATATACATTTTTTAATGTTATTAAAAGAATAAACATTTTTTTTAAGCCAATATACTGTTGTTGATCACACAGGCAAGCTAAAAGCAGAATCACCTGAACAACTGAAACAAAACCAGAAGTTCGCAGTATGGAAAAACTGACCCAGAATCTAGTAATTGCATACACGGTGTCACTTTGTAATAGTCTGTAATTAGTTTCCTGGAAAGTAGAGATACAATTATGTATCTTTGCCAAATGTATGTCAAGTGTAATGACTGTTTTTAATAAAAGGGCAAAAAGTATTATCAAACTTTGTTTTGTGTTTATATTTTTAACAAAAAAAAAAATTGTTTCCTAGAAGTCACTTATTAGAATGTTATTTTTAAACCAGGCTTCTTTGCAATCTTGCCTTGCTTTAAAAATGAGTAGTATTCCAACCCACAGGGAACCGAGCAGAGTCATTTGTAGAACAGAACAAGAAGTCTGAAACAAAATGGGCAAGTATACTCCAGTCTCAAGACTAATGAGAAGGAGTCTTAACTTCTCTATCATGCTTCAGAGGTCAGAGTAAGATTTAACTATGTTTCCCAAAAATGTACATGATATCACACATGTCTCTGGTAGGAGTTTGCTTTTTCATCTGCATCACTGCTGATGTCTGAAATTCTCCTATCTTTACTATGGTTGTCATATTTAAAAATGTATGTATATAAATGTAATGCCTAAAGTAAAAAAGAAAAACTGTTCTGAAGGCTTGATTAAGGTTTGTCATACCTTCTCCTGGAAAACAATGTTATGAATGCAAAAGTTACAGCTAAATTTCTTTACCAACTTCATGCAGTGCAGACTTCGTAGCTCATAATTTAGTTTTTAATGGACAATAATCTTTTGCTTTAGGAAATTCTTTCTGCTTCCTGTTATCCTAAATATTACAACAATTGTTTTTAGAGTTAAAGAGCTGGTGCTTGTCAAGATGACAGCTCCTTCAAGGTGACTCATTTTCATGGATGTAATGAAAAATGTTACTTTCTTGTTTGGACAGTGTTTGGAGAACTAAGTCTAAATTGTGAATGCTGTTTGCTTAATGGTTTGCACCTGGGCTCCTTATTTTCTCAGGCTTTTGGTCAGCCATACATTGCCTCAGTTGCCTTTCCTTACTTATCCTTTTCAGTCTGTACAGGCTGGTTTTGTTTTACTGTTCAGTCAGTTTTGGTTCACGGCTTCTTGCTGTTTCATCTGTTCTTGCCCAGCAGAGGGGTACCATGTCCTGCAGAAAAACTGAGGCACAGCAAGCCAAAACTAAGTGTTCATGGGTTTGGTTTTTTATTTCCTAAACTACTACTTATTGTGAGTAGAAAACAGCAATCCAAAGACTGAGGAATCCTGCATTTATAAGTTATATTCTGAGTTGTATGCTGCAACAGCCATTATAAAGATTTCTTTGGAAGCTAATACCGTTACATTATATGTTACATTATATGTATTATATCCTATATTGAAATAATGTATTACAGTTTCCCATGACTTCAGACTCAGATTGAGGGAGGAGCTGGGTAGGCAGGTACAGTCTCTGAAGTACATTGGTCTTCAATGATGGTTACCTACAACAATAACAAATTTAATCTTTCACTTCCCTCTCTGTCTTGTCAACATGTTCTGCCTAGCCTTTGCTAGCTTCTGCTTCAGAGGCTTCACCTTTCCTAAACACCTTCAGCTGGCATTCTGCATCTTTTCTTCCTAATCAGTGAAAGTAACTTGAAGACAAATAGGGTGCCTTCAGTGTCTTATGCTGTCATTTTTACGTCATGTGAGCCAGGCATATTGTCATATTCATCACTTGTCAATCAGAAGACAAGCACTGTTCAGCTGGGAAGTTTATTAGTCCTTGGGAAAACAACCACTGTGCCCTCCTCCCTGCTGCGTTTCTGTTTTCTCTTGCGTGTACAAGTGTGTGGGAGGGGGGAGCCATTTATATAATACTGATTTTGTGCTTGGCCAAGGCAAGTACTTTTTCTTTTGTCTGGATTGTAATACGGTATTTAAGACTCGCTTTAATCTGTCCAGTTCAGTCATCATACAGTATTTTTTAAAAACTTGTTGCAGTTGGCTGTTTTCTAGCATTGCTTCTTAGGAAGCAGAAATATTATTGGTGGCATGTATTGAAACCCTAGCTTCTGTTGCTCAAGGCATTACTTAGTTGAGGCCTCAGTGATGGTGTAAAAAAGCCATGGCAGATGGAAGCCACAATAGCAATCAAAGCAGAGGGATGGAAATTCAGTTCTTCTGGTAGTAGTGCCCTGTCTCGCTTAAGTCTGAAACAGTGGACTAGGTAGCATTGTGGCAAATAAAACCTTTATGTGCTCGGAACAGAGAATTTGTTTAATATGAGTAACCGAAATTATTTTAGAAGGGTAGTATAAATTAAACACTGGGATGTTGCCATATATCCGAGAGCCTTTTATATCGATGTTTTTCATGCAGTCTTCCAATTATATCCATAATGTCTTGGTTGTGGATACGTGTATCCTGGTGAAATGCCTGGGAGATGGGAATTGCCAGTCCATTGTATATCAAAAGTGAGGTACAGAAAAGTTAAGCTTGCATGACCAAACAAGTCAATGCCAAAACTGTGATTTAGGCCTAGGTCTTTCAAATCTTGTATTGAAATCCTAACCTGTCAACTATCTCTTCATGAACACAGTGAAATATCTTTCATTCTATTAAGAAAATTGTGGTAGCAAATATCCCTAACTCTTCAGCAGAGTATGTTTTTAATAGAACAGAGCTTTGTGATATTATAGGAGGCTTCTTCCAAGAATTTCAAAACACTTTTCACATCCCCTGTCTCAAAATAAAACTTAACTCTTACTCCTAGACCAGTTTAAAAACATTGTGGTTAAAAACATTGCCAGTTGCAACCTTCCTTTTACTTGTTGGTCCCTACTTTATCCATGTGCATTAAGCTACATGATTACTCAACTATGTGAAACCCTATTCTATTAATTCAAGCACTGTCCTCTTTTCCTAATGCATTGTCTGACCAATTTCAGTAAAATCTGTCTAATGGTGATTTAATATCTTACTGCTTACAGACCTGGGCAGTCAGTGCATATTTTTGTATAATTAAGTTATTTAAACATTAGCAAGATAGAAGTTATCTGAATAAGTTCTATGCCAAGCAGTCTTACGGCATACAACATTCTTGGTCTTTCATTCACTCGGTTATGTTATTTTCTAAAATCCTACTTTGAAAGTAGGTATATGGTTTCATTGCAGTACTCTAATATGCTAATTAAGGATATTTAATTATACCCTCCGAAGCTGGACTCTTTGCTCTTTTACTTTCAGTCCACTCCATTTATCATCTGCAGCACATTCCTATCTCTCCTTTTAGTCCCAAGTGTTTCTAAATCCCCATTTCTTCAGGTATCATCAGTCTAAATAATCCTGTATAATTGACAACTTTGTCAATAACTGGCAGTGGCAATTTACCAGTAAGCACAGTTTAATATCTTCCTTCTTTCAGCCTCCAGGAAGATAGATACACCTGATCTTTCTGCTCATTACTTCATGTCTCACTCTGTGTTTCCCTCTCATACTGTTTATTTGCATGTGTAAAAGTTGAACCAGATAAGTCCCTTTTTTGAATTTTTTATTTCAACCTACTATATTCCCCTCTTAATGTTTTTAGTCTTTATCTCAGGAGGATGATTCATTGCCATATTAGCTATTATAAAAACATGCTCCCCTGTCTCCCTCTGGGAACGCAGTGCTTTACCCGCATGTAAAGCGTATCTTGGTTATTATTCTCTAGGAAGGCTGCTCCACTTAGGGTGTTAATGTAACCAAGGCACAATAAACAGTCAAAAAGCTGCTGAAGAAATGAAATACTTGTCTGAAAGGAGGAGTCTGATAACTTCTCTAAGGTGCTGGGAATTCATTTCTTCCTGGTCCTTTATATATTAGCTTTTCAAGTAATTGTTAGTGAGCCATGAAGAATTTTGCTTTCATCTATAAACACTACATTTATTTGGTTTTGCATTGTTTCAAGAGCTGAAGAAGTTAGTGTGATGAAGTAGTCTACCATAACATCTTACCACAGCTCGAGGCTCAGTTTTTGGAATGTTGTTTAAATAACATTTTGAGTTTCCAAGTCTGAAGTAAGGCAGGTGGAAAGGGAAATATATTGAGTATCAATTTAGCAGCTGGTCACTATAGAAACATGCTGTAAAGAGAACAGTTAACCAGGGACTTAAGGAGAAAAGAATGTTGGAATGAACAACAGAGGGTCAAAGCCTCATTTTGTGCTGCTCAGATAAAGCAGTTGTCTGCCTTAGGAGAATAACTGGGGCTACAAAGTGTAATTCTGGGATGATTGTCATTGAGTTGCCTTTTTTCTGTTGCCTAGTATGCGTGCAGTGCACATGGGAAGGGCTGCACCATGTTGTTCCTTTGGCCAGCTTTCATTGCTGGAGTGTTTTGCAAACCAGGATGCATTGAGGCGTAATTTATAAAAAACTTCGAAGCTCTCAATACATGTTAGGACATACTT